AGATAAGATGCCCCTATTCAAATTTGATCAAAAACAGTGGTTATGACTTCTTCCTCTGCTTCTGGTGAAAACACGAAGGACAAAAATCCTGATCTTACAAACAAGCTCGTGCGACTTTTTCCTTGTATATAAATTAAAATATAGCGCACCCAGATAATATCAATAATAAAAAAATGTTAGATATGACTCATATATCATAAATGGACGCTTGCTAAATTTGGAGCGGAGCGGAAGATTTTGTCTAAATTTGGGGAGTTTTCTTATGTGGGTTGGGGGTGCGGTACATGGGTAATTTGATAATTACATATTAATTACATATTGTACTTACATATTGTACCCAATGTTTCCTTTTTTATGTGTTTTGTAGGGTTATAAATTATGTTTGTATGTAACTCTAGGGATAATCTCTGAATCCTCTATTCTGTAATCTTCTTTCTGAATAGTGAAAGAAACTCGCCGCTCTGCTCCCGAGGACGTAGGCATCTTTGCCGAACCTCGTTAAATCTCTGTGTTCTTCTGGATTTGTGTCAATTTGTGTCATTATTGTTTTTCTTCGCCCTAAATTTCTCAACAAAAAAATATAAGATTTTTGAAAATCTATTCAGAAGGTAGGCTACAATGTTCAGATTTCAGAATTAAATTCTAAAAAAATTATAAATATTACAATTATTTGCAAGTAATATCTTCTTTAGTTGTAAATTTAAAACTTGTTAAGATGTAATTATATATATATTATAATTTTTAACATATACATCCGAAAAACTATCCCAAATAGACCTCTAATATAATTTATAAAATTCAAGTTTTTTAAGAGTAGTTTTTATAAGAAAACTGTCTGGACCAGCTTATTGGATATAATCTGTGGCGTTGACTCGTTGATTTATCTTATCTTCATTGATTTCAGGTGAAAATAATCATTTAATGCATGATTTGATGTGAAAATAATCATTATATGCTAAACGACATGCAAAGCTTACTTGTTGAGAACAAAGCATCCTACTCATACTAAAAATCAGAAGAATTGCGTTTAATCATGGAGTGCTCCTTCCCTAACCCGTTGAGCAGGACAAGGTTTCTAGGAAATAGCGGAAATAAATTATAAAGTCCTTCAACCAGTTCGAAAAATAATACAAAATAATCATTCTATGAATTCTTCAAAAAAAGAGTGTTAAGGATAAGCACCTGTCTATCTAGATCACACTTTTACAGCCATAAAACAGAAATGCCAGTTGTACATTACTTGACGAGGTCCTCCGACGCTTGTAGAATCATTTTTATTTTTCTGTTAGTTTTATGGAAGATAACAATACATGTCAAAGGCCTATGAGAAATGCAATAAGTATAGAGCATTGTTTACTGTTTATATTAGTGTTATGTATGGCTCATATATTAGATAAGGGACAGATGCTGGAGCAGAACAGAGCAAGCCAGCGGCTCCATTCTGCTGTAGCATCTGTCAAATTGGGAGAGTTTTGTTAAGTGGGTTGGGGGTGCGAGGGCAATGCTCCCGATGTACAGGAGTAATTTTGTAATCACATATTGTACTCTCATATATTAGATAAGGGACAGATGCTGGAGCGGAACAGAGCGAAAACATCTGTCCAATCAGCGGCTCCATTCCGCTGTAGCATCTGTCTGATTGGGAGAGTTTTATTAAGTGGGTTGGGGGTGCGGGGGCAATGCTCCCGCGGTACGGTACAGGAGTAATTTTGTAATCACATATTGTACTCTACGGTTATATATATATGTTGTATTATACCCTGATGAGATGTACTCCTTTTCAAGAAATCAAAAAACCTCCGCTCTTGCTCCTGAGGTCGTAGGCAAATTGTCGAACCTCGTTAAATCCTTGAATTTGTTCTTGATTTATTTGCCCTAATTTCTCAACAATTAGAATGTTAAGTCAAAATGTCTGAAAGAATAAAACAAATGCTAAAAAATTATAAGACGTTTAATTTGAAATAAAAGTAATAGATCTTGGATTAATTTTTTCTAAACATAAAAATATAATCTTTCATCTCAACATGCATCCGTTTATAGAAATGGATGCATGACTTGAGAGTACTTAGGTCGTATGGCCTAGAAGAGATAGATGTTGAAGCCTTCATTTCATTATAGAAAATTTATTCATATGATTATGATCATTAGCTAAAAGAAAGGTTAAATATAATGGCATAAGAAAAATAATCATTTTTCATCCTAATTATGTTGATTTGAAATAAATACGAGGTTGATTTGCAATGAAATATATCAAAATCAATCATGTATAAAACCAAATGACAATTAGGCAAATAATGGAGCTACAAAATATAAGATTTTCTCAAATTGCATGCAGAAGAAGATCAAGTCGAGGAAATTTATGCAGTTAATTGTTTAAAATCACATCTTACTAAAAGCAATAAAGTCAAATCTAAGAAACTAACAAAAGAAAACTATAAAAAATAAAAGGGAAATAACTTCTTAAAAATTATAGATTTTAGAGAAATTTGATGTCATATGTTTGTTTTTATATGATTTCAGTTTTATATTTATATAAAATGGTTGACATGTACATCAAGTGAGCTTGGAAGAATTTTCTTATAAACCAGAATTATCAACATATGAATTAAGCTTCTACTCCATATAAAATGATTTATGTATTTCCTTATTAGGTATAAGTTGTTATTCATAGAATTTACTCTGCCAAATGCAAACAGAGTGAACATTTAGTTTAAGCTATCCTTAAGATATAATCCATTAGTGATGTATAATGGCATAAGAAAAATATAATGGCATAAAAAAAATAATCATTTTTCATCTTAATTATGTTGATTTGAAATAAATACAAGGTCGATTTGCAATGAAATATATCAAAATCAATCAGGTATAAAATCAAATGACAATTAGACTAATATGAAACATAGAGTTGCAAAATATAACATTTTCTCAAATTACATGTAGAAGAAGATCAAGTCGAGGCTATTTTTTCCGAAGTCTTGAGAATATTTTTCACTGTCTTCCAGGATCATGTTCTTTTTCTAATCTAGCTTTCTCTATGGTCACCTCATCTTACTCCTTCCCACTCCTAAGTTTAATGGCATAATTTTTCGTTCTCTACAACTTTCTTCTTAGAATTCACTTCAGTGTTACTGGGTAACATCCCTTGGTGTCTATTCCTTATTGAAATAACTAGTTGCCCCAATTGATTCTCAATATTTTTAATGTCTGTAGCTTAACTTTCCATCTGATTTTCCCTCTGTAATACCAATGCTTCAAATGACATTATTTTCCTTTAAAAGATTATTAGAAGTGAATCCAAGTAGATAAGTTTGTCTCGAGTTAAAATTATTTTCTTTATTATTCCACTTGACTAAAGTGTTTAGTTGGCTACTATCCCATTACTGATTTCCTATAATTTGATTAGTGCTCTAATTACAATCTGCTATCGTTTATTACTTTCAATGACTCCACATAAAAAAAATTAGAATCAACTAACTGTCCATAAGCATTTTTCTCAATTATTAGTGATCTAGGTGAAGAATTCAACCATAAGTTATCAAATGTTTTATATATAGTACCTATTTTTGCAATTAAAATTAACAACACATCTTGTTCCTGAATTTTAGCTACTTTCATAAGGTTTATTCTCTTAGAAATCCATTGAATTTTTTTTTTAGCCATCTCTGCAATTAGTGTATGGGCCTGCTCAATAATTTTTGATATCAAAGACCCCCTACTATAATATTTATGATCAACTTCAATGATCCCACTAGCTCGTTGTAAAAAGTTTAAATTATTAACCAATCATATAGGGCATGGTGTGGGCATTTTCTAAGAAGCCCCTTCAATCTCTCCCACACCTCATAAATTGTCTCACTATCTATCTAGGTGAAAGACATTATGCTATTCCTAAACTTGGTAGTTTTTAACAGGTGAAAAGTTTTTTGATAAAAATCTCTTGGCCACATTATGGATCTTGCGGCTAGTGAGTTAAGCCACTTCTAAAAGAAAATGGAAATTGCCCAAGTTTAACAACATCACTGGAGTCACCACTGCACCTAAAAGTCACCACTACGACCTTCAGAGAGGCTGCTCGACAAACAGACCATAGAACGAGCACTGTATTTATATATAATTTTAGTCTTCAATGGGTGAACCTCAAAATTGATTGTTCTAGACCATTTGAATCAAAACAGGTTTTATTTCAAAAATGTTGGCTTCTACGGTAGGGTTATAAATACTTTCGTGAACTTTTTTTTTTCATTTCTTTTGAGTTAATTAAAACCAATTAAAACATTAAAAAATAGGCATAAAATATTTTTATATTTTCTTATATAATGAGTCAAAATATTCTCTCAAAGATCATGTACTATTAAAAATGTTGTACATTAATACTTCAATTATTTTCACTGTTGTTATTGAGCTCCTAGACTTGGAAGGAACTTATGACATTATTTATGATATTTTGGACAACTATCGAGTTTTTCTTTGTGATTTCAGATTCTTCTCATTGAGCACTTCACATGAATATGTTGTAATAATGATTTTGTGATAAAATTTTCAAGTTTGGATACCACTTTTTGGGAACTTTATTGACAAAAATATGATTATAATAAACTCAAACTCACAATTCATGCAAAATATAACTCTTTAATTTTAACAAAAAACTTTCTTTAGAAGCATTTCTACTTTCTTGTTCTTTCTCTTATAGTAGAGGCTTTGTTTTTCACTTTATGTGTAACATGGCATATTATTTAAATATCAAAATCATATCAACCATTTAATATTCACCTAATAAGATTATCACACATATTTCTCACATGCATAGCCAAATATTTAATTCCTAACTAGTTTATTTGTTAACAAGTAGATTTTTTATGCATTACAAAAGAGAGCCAAAATATAAGATATTGAAAAGAACAATATCACATTATGAAAACATTAACATACAAAAGGGTTCGCATCATTATAATCCAACTGCTAGTTGAACTTCAATGAATAAAAACAATTCTTCAATTTTCTTATTCAGTTAAAACTCCTCCAACAGTCACTTTATCTCCTCCAACTTTAGGCACCAAACTAACCACCACCCATTCATCACTAACCGCACCAATTTCCTGTATGAATTGTGTTATCCCAAATTGTTTCTTTGTTACCATAGGAATACTTTCTTTTGCCCTCCTCTCCAAATGGTAAAAACACCCGACCTCAACTCTTCCACCATCCACCCTACCAACATAAACCTTAAACCAAACATGATCCCTCCCATCCAACTTAATATCATTCACAACAAGTATCTCTTCCCCTGCCCCAACCTTTCTCTTAATCTTAATCCCCACCTGAGAACTCACTAATAATGGAAACATCACATCACCTTCTCCATCCCTCTCATCCATAGCCACAAATGCATCATTGTTCCCCCTCTCTTCCACAACCGTCTTTATATTTAACCACTGCAATGGAACATCTTCATACACGTAACCAAGCTTCTGTGTGTCAAGAACATCCCGCACAAATATGCGTACAAGCTGCATGTTCTCATCCCAAAACAGAAAAGAAGCATCGAGGAAGTCAGTGTCATTAAAAACCTTGCTTCCGTTGCCTGGAATTTTCTCCCATATTGTCCATAATCTGTCTACGTTGCCATGGTGAGCAAAAAAGATGGGATCAAGAGCTGCTCTAACTATGAGTGACATGTCTGATCCGGTGAAGGCATGAACAGGGCTATGCGGAGAGCCTTCAATGGACCCACCACCAGGGAAGGGCTGGTCTCCAGCCCGGTATGGGCTGCCAAAGAAGAGCAAACTGGAGCTGAATCCGGCAATGAATTGGTTATGCATGAGCTGAAGATTGCATTTTTTTTGCTTGGAAACAGAGTCTGGTGTGCCATCTCCTTCACAGCCGCCAAGATCAGTGAAGTTGAGGGCTATGGGGTAACGAGTTGGATTGAAGAGGGAAGAAGTGTTGCGTCGATAGATGTTTGGGATGCTCATGCTGGAAGGGTTATCCCAGTTCCAAAATGGAAGGGCGAAGGAATTGTCGTTGATGAGTTTTCCTAGAATTCGTTCGTAGAAGTAGAGGTAGGCTCGGTGCCATGTGAAAAAATGCCAGGAGCCATGAATCTGGAAGAAGAATAACAAACTTTGGTATTAGCATTTATTTGTCCAGTTTGCTAAATTTAGCATAGAAATATTTATGTTTTTAGTAAACTTTAATACAATATGTTTTAATATGTAATATAATCGTCTTATCTCCTAAAAATGATATAATTTTGTCATTAAAAAGGCGGCGTATATTATATTCTTAAGGAAATATTCTTCCGTTTAAATATGAAATAAGAAAATATATTCACATCGGGAACCATTGTTTTTTTTTAATTTCTTTCAGCTTATGCGACTTTTTCATAAATAGTAAGATGGAGTCCAATGCCAAAAGTAGCAGGCGGCAATTAGCTTGCAAAATTAAATGCCATATGCATGCATATCGCCTTCTTTAAGGGTTAATTTATGACTCATTCAAATAAAATTGAGTTGACCAGTTATACACATACAGACATACACATATACTATTCATATATATATATATATATAATTGAGTTGACTAGATATATATTTGCATATATATTATTCATATATATGTATATAT